AAGTAGTTCTTAAGTATAGTTACGCCTAAAAACCCCTTATAATTAATTATAAAAATACCCTATTATCTACCCTATTATTAACCCTATTATCTACCCTCTATTCTATACTAGCTTTCTTTAAGTATAGTAACTTAGTTTCTACTTTAGATAACTTTCTATATAAAAAGGCCTAGAAACTATATAAAAGCTATTATAGGGGTACTAAATATAGAATACTAAAAAACTATAGAATAAAAAAAACTATAGAACCTCTTCTATAGCTTAATACTTTTTTCTAGCTATAGGAAGTACTTAAGTATATTAAGAATAAGAAAAGTTAGCCGGAACTTTATATTTCTATAATAGCAATTACCTATACTTAGCATAATATTATAAAGCTCTAGCCGAAGAAAAGTAGTTAGTATTTACTTTCTTATTCTATAGTTTTAGATAGTAATTAAACTATTTATACTTATTTTCTCTCTAATAATAGTATAATATCCTTTTTTATTAATTAATTATTTACGCGCAAATATAAAATTTATTAAATTCCTTTTAATTTACCTTATTATCTTATCTATATTAACAACTCTAATTCTTCCCAGTTTATTACTTATACCGCAATTATTAATATTACTATAGGTTTTTATATAGAATAGCTAGTCTGCTATATTACTAACCTAAGATATATACCTATAGTTCTAGGAACTAACTAGTATAAAACTTATAACCCGGAAATCGACTTTATTAAAAAAAGCTTTTATTTCTATTAATTATAGTGTTATAATCTTTACTATTATAGTAATAGTATACCCGCAAAAATCTATTATAAAGGTGCTGCGCAGCCTGCTGGACTAGCTAAGCTTTAGTCTATATTTTTATTCGCGATATTTATTAGTCTAATAGAACGCTATATTTAATACGCTAAGCCTAAAAACCTTATTTAGATCTATAGACCGGAGTTTATACCTGCACCGGATAACTTCTTATTTAATACGCCCGCGATCGGGCACGTTATTAGTATACCGGAGGATAATAGCACGCTTAGACTCTACGCCCTTTCTATTAATAAATATAATAAGTTTATAAAGAAATAGAAGATATATTTACCTAAAGAGCTCTATACTTACCTAAATAAATATTTCCACCCCTAGATAGATATATAGTTTAGATAAAAGGTAGAAAACTTTCCCTCTTACTAGGAATATAATTACGCTATTTTTTTATAACTAGAATTCTTTTTACTAAAATAGAAAACCTATACTATATTAGAAGAAAAGAACTATATTATATATAATAAGCTATAGAAGCTGCTTAGTAAGAGCTTTATTAAAAATAGCAACTTTTTTATATACGCACTAGTGCTTCTAGTTAAAAAACCGGATAGAATATACTGCTTCTGCGTTAATTACTAAGGCCTTAACGCTATTATAGTTAAAAATTAGTACCTATTTCCTATTATCTAGGAAACGCTTAATTGCCTTTATAAGGCTAAATAGTATACTAAGCTAGATATTATTTCCGCTTTTAACCGCGTACGTATTAAACTAGGAGATAAATAGAAAACAGCCTTTATTACGCGCTATAGTATATTTTATAGGGCGCGAGCTTCCGGAAGACACGCATAATATACTCGGCGATTATTAGGCCTGCTATCACGTACGGATGCACCTCCTGGTACACTACGCCGGGCATGAAAGAGCAGATTAGCAAGACAAAGATTAAACAGCTCGAAACAGCACAGAACCAGTGCCTTCGTGCTATCTCAGGGGCATACAAGACAACAAACATTAGGGTGATGGAGCACGAGACATCATGCCCCCCGCTCCGGCTGAAGATGGAGGAACTTATGGTGGCCTATGCGGACCGCACACGCGAGGGGCCAGCTCGAGAGCACATTGAAACCCAATGCAGCCGCATAAGAGAAACGGTTCGTGCCAAATACAGGCCGAAAGGAACACCACGGTACGGCCCAAGCAGGCGCGACGAACTCCGCAAGCTCGCGGCGAAGGCTTCACGGCTAGCCGCACGATACGAAGGCGAATCAGAAGAATCCCATAGGCGCACAAGACGTGGCATGATCCAGGATGAATACGAAGAGAAGTGGAAGAAGGAATAGGAAGCACATCGTAGAGAACCACGCCGAGGACCCCCAACACCAGCACTTAATACCAAATGGAGCAAACAACAAGAGGCGCTACACAAAGGGCTCACAAAGGTAGAGAGCACAATTATCACGAACCTACGGACGGAGCATATAGGGCTCAACGGCTACCTCCACCGTATGAGAGTGCCCGGCCACCCAACGCCGGCATGCCCTTGCGGGCATAGCCTCCAATCCCCAAGACACGTTGTAATAAGCTGCGGAAGGCACATCAAGGGCAGGGGCGAACTGTTCCAGAAGGCCAGGACAAGGACGTACGAACAGCTCTACAGAAGCCAGAAAGGAAGAAAGGCCGTGGCCCAATGGCTCCTCCAAAGGACGGACATCCTGCCATACCTCTCGATGGCCAGAGAGATGGCAGAGGCGGAGACGTAGGCCCTCCACACCCTATTCTTCACAAACTATGCATACTACGCACACTACGCATACTACGCATACCACGCATACTACGCACACCACACACACTACGCACGCACGCACAGCGCCATCGCCACCTACACCACGCGCCCACCCAACAGCTGTACACTACCGTTTACCGCAGCCCCGCATATATTGCAACCCACACGGCACCAACTCCCATACACTATCATCACCATCATTCAATTCTACCCAACGCTTTGACGAAGGGCACGCGCGCGAAACAACAGCACGCGTGCCCTCACGCTAACCCTAAACCAGCCAACCACTCCGGAATCAACTCAACCCGCGCCTAGGAGGGCGACCACAAACCCGGACGGATTTAGGACGACGCATCATGATGGCTTATTCCGTGGCGGACTTAACAGACCTACCACGTGTCCCCAATAGCTATACAAAATAAGAAGAGCGCTCAGCGCTATACACCGCAGAGGACGAGGTTTTCATCCGAACGCTGCATGGCAGCAAGCGGTTTCTCCTTGTAAACTAGCCTAGATAGAACAGCTGCATGGACCCTAACGGGAGCTACACCAGCGTAATAGAATTTAATAATAATAATATATAAAGATCTAAGGATTATTATACTATAGTTTAAGCTTATATATAATATAAAGGCGAAGTATAGTATTATAGATAACAACTTTTATAACTTTAATAAAACCGGCTTTTAGATAGGTGTTATTTTAATAGAAGTAGTTATTACAGGCTCTAAGAAATAGAATTAACTAAAAGCTATATAACTAGGTAATTATAAGTAGGCTACTATAATTAAGGCTATTAATACTTATAAGTAGGCAATCCCGCCGTTTATTATCCTTGCGGGTAAATACTACCTTTTTATATAGTATAAGGGCAGTAATATACTACTAGACTAGGCTATAGCAGTAAGTAATAATAGCTGGATAATAAATAAGCTTAGTATTATATAGCTGCAATATTTTAATATATATATAAAGGACCGCACTATAGGCGTATATTGCTTACTTATTTTAAATAGTTATAAAAGCTATAACTTGCTTAAATTTAAAGAGCTTTATAAGGAGAATAATATTATTACGCTATATATACCGCCGTATACCTTATATCTATTACAGCCGCTTAATATAGGCTATTTTACACCGTTAAAAAAAGCGTACAGTTGCTAAATTAAGGATCTAGCGCGTAACTATATTAACTATATTATAAAGCTTAAGTTCCTACCAGCTTTTAAAGCAGTATTTAACAACTTATTTATAAAGAGTAATATAACCTTTTCCTTAGCTATACTCCTAATAGCTTTTAAAGCTTAATATTATACTTTATATACTATTACCTTCTGCTATAAAGGCTTAATAGGAATTAAAAACACTAAGTAATACTTTTAAGCTAGGCTCTTAATTAGCTTTAATTTATAATTGCATTTAAATATATTAATATAGCTCTCCTACTATAATTCTTAAGTTGCTTAATTTACTTATTAAAGGCGCTAAGATGCAAATATATAGGGCTGTATTATTGTATAATTAGGTTATAAGCCTTTAAAAGGCGAATAAGGCCGCTATAAAGTATAGAAAGTGTAAAAAAAAGTAAATTTAGAGGTAAGAAGTTCTAATAAAGGTATAGGGCTCTAATATAATTGCTTAAAAGGAAGCTAATAAACAAATTAAGGGCGAAATGCGTTAAAATAGGAGGCGCCCGGGTGGAAGTGCACAGCAGCAGGCGCGCTGCAGGCGCTGCGGCGAGACAGGACATAACTCTCGTACGTGTTAAAAAGATAAGGAAATTGTTGTAGATTAGACTGCAGGTCGTATTAAGTTAATATCTATTGGCGTTGTAGAGCAATTTGCATTTAATGTTGCGATTTGCTTATAAGGTAGGCCACTCGCTTAGGTGGGCCGCTCGCTTATAGAGTACGTTAACCCTAGAACTGTAACATTTTGACTTGGCTTTTTGAACTGTGATAGCAATCCACTCTGAAATAATAACGGCATTAAAGAGAGGATCAGAAATGCCGGTAGAAATGAGAGGCAAGCTCTATGTACATTAAGAAATAAGGAGGCCGGAGTACCGGATCCGTAGAACACCGCCTCGCAGGCAGCAGATATGGTAGAGTCAAGGGCGAAATATCTACCAAATTTCGCGCTGAAAGCAAAACTTTTGGCCTAATACTATAATACTGTGGTATTTCTACCTATTTATTATTACTATAGGTACAGGAATGCCTTTAGGAACCTATAAGCACGAATATTATTATTAGATAAGTTGGTGGTTTGTTGGGGTGTGGTGAGAGCCGCTTCTGTGGGGCGCCTATATTCGCTGTTGACTCCATGCCGTAAGGCTAGCATCAACCGTCGCTGCCTGGAGAGAGCCGCCCTCAGTTACTTCTTTCCAAAATCTCCAACGTCATATTGTTTTGCTAGCCGTTGGGAATAGCTTCGTGTTCAACACGTCTCCACATGAAATGGATCACGAAGAGGGCACATCATTTGCTCGATCGGGGTCAAACTTCGAACCAAGTCTCAGGCCGTCACGGCAAAGACCAGGCCCTACGTCGAGCTACATTCTAGACGGATTAGCATCATTGGCCTCTGCCTCTGAAGGGAGAACGTCTGTTCAAGTCGTGATTGACCTGCTCCGCAAATCCGGATTACCCGGTCCGGTGAGCACCTTGCAGACTGACTCTACAAGAGTACTCCTCGGACAAGGAGCGCAATTTGCTGTGTATCGCGAAAGTACGTTCTTTAGCGCTCCTACTGGGAGCCGTCCTGGCGCAATCTCTTCGTACGATGTCGCAGTCAAACAGCCAAAATTCTCACAGGATTTGTTTTCGAAGTTCAGCCTCGCGGACCCTGAAGCGCAGAAACATCTCCACACCATCTGGCTGGAAATTCTGGCTTTCACAGATCCACAATTGAGGGAGCACCCGAACATCGCGAAACTATTAGCGTAGTCTTCGGAAAGATCCGCATATCATTCTCCTCTGACGCTCGTTATGGACATCGCATCATATGATCTAGCCGCGTTTTTAAAAACCCATGACAGTTCCACGTCAACAGTAACGAAGTACATTTTCTGTGTGGATGTGGCGGCTGGTCTTGACCAACTTCACAGATGCGGCTTAGTGCATGGAGACTTGAAGCCTCAGAATGTACTGCTCTTCAAAGAACACGGGAGATTCATAGCGAAGCTTGCGGACTTTGGGCTGTCTCTCGATGACAATACATTAGCCGATAATCAGGTCCGTCTTGGAGGCACGGCAGGGTAGAAAGTCCCAGAGGTTGAAGCTGGACTTGGTATGACCCGAAGAAACATTCCGCGGGCCAATAACTACTCTTATGGACTAGTCATCTGGAGTGTGCTCTTGTATTCTGGAGACATTCCAAGTCAGCGGGGCGTTACATCAAGACAACAAATTGCTCTACAAGAATTAGAAAACAACAAGGACGCGATAGGATCGGAGCGATATTCTGTGCTACACGGCGCAGTCAGCCAGTGCCTTGAACCGGAGCCCCTTAATCGCGCGATGACTCTCTTGCCGCTCTTTCCCGACGGAGAAACCAACAAAAACCGCCTCGTCGCTCATGCTGAAGAGATCTCGGCTTCACAATGGGACGAGAGAGCGGGTAATCTAGATCTGGAGAATCTAGCAAAGCTATACGACCCTTTCCGCAAACCGAAATACGAAAGTTGGGAGCCGAACCCTTTCGCAAGCTACTACGCCAAAGATCTGCTTTCATCTATTTTGCATGGACGTGAGTGCGTCGACAGACAGATCTATTTTGATCTCTTCCTACATCTTACCAGCTCGGATAAGGACTACCGTATCCGATGCTACAGTATTGAGCCTGCTTTGCAATGCAGCAAGCCTTGGCGCGAAAAATGCGCAATCCATGATAGGCACAATACACCGCTACTACGAGATCGACCAGCCCGAAGAAATCCAACGACATTATTTAGCATGGCTCAAACGTGCGGTCGCCGATGGCAGCGTGCTTGGAAAGTCAGAGCTGCAAAAGCTTGATCACGATGCATTTTCCGCCAGCATTGAGCAGTTTCAAAATTCGGGGGGTTATAACTGGTTCTATTTTCACAACAACGAGCGCATTTACGCCGCGAAATCAGATGAGCCGGAATTGCCTGGCTGGACGACGCTTCATCGATTGGCGGCTTGTGGAACCGTTGAACAAATGGGGGAATATCTCGAAACTCCTGCTCGAGAGGACATCGAATCTCTCACATCGAATGGCGAAACTGCCTTATATCTTGCCTCTGCGCGTGGCTGCTGGGCGATCGCAAAGAAACTCTTGGATTATGGTGCCGATCCCGCAAGGCCTTGCACAACATTTGGAATTACCTGTTTACACTGGCTGTTCTGCTTTGATGAAAACTTTCAGGATGAGGCAGTTGCCCACTTTTTCTCTCGTGGTGCAGATATAGACGCAACTGCACGAGACGAGCTTCCTTTTTGGCACTATCCCTTTGTACTTCCAGCAGGAACGCCATTACACTGGGCCGTCGTCACTTCAAGCAGGGTAGCTATCAGTGCTCTTTTCAACCACGGGGCAGATGTGCTCGTGCGGGATGGATCCAACCCTTACACATTCGATAGTCGGGTCCGATTTACGAACAAATTCGGAGGCCCAAACCAGGAACCATACTCAGTTCCGGAGATCAAGCCCATGGGCTTATCATCGCTGGATCTGAGCGCAATGCAGTGGGATCCTTTTCTATTTCACCTGATACGCTCATCTCGCAAGCAAACCATCAACATCAACGCTGTAGACGAGGAGGGTTTCGCCGTGCTTCACCGTCACAGCGCAGATTACAAACGCAGAACCCGGCTTGGCAACGTCTTTTCATCCGTACCTTTCAGAGGAACTCGGGAGGAGGCGCGACAAGGGCTTCGACAAATTGCTGAAATTGTGCAAGAACTCGGCGGCAACTTTGATCTCCTGACAACGACTACAACATCCAAGTCGCAAAGCTACCGCTTTACTGACATGGTGAATCAAACTCCGTTAATGCTAGCCATGACGCTTGGCGATGTGGACATTGTGGAGGCGCTATTGGATTATGGTGCCAACCCAAACGCTGAGGACGAGCAAGGAGCCGTGGCGCTCCATTATCTCCCCACAGGTAACGACAAATATGGCATACCATGTGTCGAGCTTTTATTGTCGCGCGGAGCAGATGTCAACCACAGGAGAAAATTGTGCATCACGGTGACACCAGTTATTGTGGCTAGACGCTCGCCTGGTGTTGTCGACACCTTGCTCTCAAACGGAGCAAACATGGAGGATATTGATGAGTCGGTGGGTTCATCGGAGTATGGGCGAAGTTTATGGACATCACTGGCCGAGCGCGACAAGCCTTTGGAATGTGTACATGACAATGCGGTGGCCGGACTGCTTGAAAAACACGTATTATCCCTAAGTGACGCTGACAGGATCCAGAATATCATCAACTATGCAAACCAGGATGGGCTCACTATGTTACACCAGTTCGCACGTAGGGGCATGCACCTCTCCACCAGCACTATCTTACGGCATAGGGCCGACCCGAACAAACTCTATTGTCGCCAAACGTATGAGTTCCATGGCAAAGATAGAATGAGGGTCACGTTTTCCTCCACTCCTCTCGACTTGGCTATCGAAGAGCTGGCAAGAAGGGAACGACAGGTGCGATCGCACAAAGAACAGTATTCTAGGTTGGAGTATAAAGATCTCTGTGACAAGGACCGCGCTGTCATCGAAGCCTTAAGAAGGTTCGGTGGAACATGTTCGGAGGTGCCAAAACTTATGACACCTGTCGACTAGGGCTGGGCCAGGTGGTGTGGTGATAGAGGTTCTTTGTGACGATTGCTTACAATACTCGTCGAATCCCGGGTGTCACGGCGCTCAGTAACTTTTTGGTCGTGGCAATTCGGGTCAGGTCGCTTCTGCCTAGGTTGGCGAAATACTTCCTGAATTGATTGGTGATGGCTGTGTCTGATAGCTTCCACAATAGAGAGAAGACATCAAAAACAAATCTATCTTCCTCAGACAGTGGAGCCAGAAATTCGTCATAACCACGTGTTATCGAGATAGCTGGATAGTTGGTGTTTATCCAGGTTCGTCACCAATGGGCTTAGTCAGGATATTTATGGATTAAAAAGGGACCAGCGGTAATGGCAGCCATTAGGACAGCTTGATGCGCCCAGTCGTGGAGCGATGCGATATGTATCATTCAAAACAACCGTGATGACTGGTTGAAAGAATCGACCAAGAGGGGGATGTCTATAAGTCGGCTCGTCTTACGATCGCCGCCTCCCACGCCTCTGATTCCAGCCAAGGTTGCTTCTATGAGCGTCCGGATCTATCGGAAGCCATCAAACTTCCAATTCCGTACAAGAGCGGAGAAGGAGAACGTTCAGGTAGTGTGTTTGCCACAGCTATGCACAGTAACTACGCCGATATCTCACCAGAATTTGGAGTACTGGCATCCAGAGCATGGGCAACTCAAGAATGGCTGCTCTCTGGTCGGATGATCTTCTATACGAAAGGCTGCATAGTCTGGTCATGCAAGGTCATAACGCAGAGAAAAACCGGCGGTTCGTTTCTCACAACAGCAAGAAACCTGAAATGGAAACTCATCGTCGAGATATACTCATCGAGATTTCTCACGAACGCTAGCGATCGTCTTATTGCTCTAGAATGCCTAAGGAGAGAGATACAAAAGAAGACTAAAGACACATACTGGTTCGGCATATGGAAGAACGCAACGTCGGACCAGCTCGTATGGTCTTGGGCATCCACAATGCACGGTGTTCGGTCTCTCAGCATCAAGAAGGCAAAGAATGTTTGCAATGGGATCCGATTTGATGACGAGAAGCGAATACTTACCATCCTTAGCCAATTGAAGAAAGTTTCTAAGATCACTCCTATGGTAAGTACTGACCAATCGCCGTACGATAGCATCAGCGACCGTTTGGCGTCAGCACGATACGAAACTTTCCGAGAAGAATTGCGTTACGAGCAGACTTCAGGAATGGTCGGCTCCTTACGCACAGAATCGGACGAAATAATCGGATGGGATCTGCTAGACGAAGGCTGCTCAACAGCATCTATTTCCGAGATGTATTGCCTCGCTCTCATGACCAGAAAATCTGATCTAGTCCACCCAACAGAGACAACTAGATCGGTATCAAAGAGGACAGCACATTCTGGCTGGCAAGAAGACTGGGTGCTCCTATTGCAGGAGTTGCCCATGAGCGATCACGCATACGTGAGGGTTGGAGCTGGTAAAGTATTCTGGAAGAGCTGGTTCCACGACGAGGCAGTACAGCGAGTCCGAATTCTTTGATTGATGATTACCAAATAGCAACACGCTTTCTTCAGCCGCCAAGGGTGATTTCAGTGCTATTTTGCATTGAGTGTCGTCGCGCTTGGCACATTCCACGCATGTCACAGCAACCCTACCATCAAGTACTTGCATGAGAGTAAATTTCAAGAAAACCGCTTCTTCTTGAACGACAGTATGGTCCAGAGTTCTTTAGCCGTTATTTCCACATTCGCTTCCCACGACTCGTCTTTGTCCTCATGCTTGACGACACCTCTTCCGTCGAAACTTTGCACCAAATCGCCGCATCCGGAGCTGTGAGCGAACAAAGGGCGATGACAACAAAGACATGGAGGCCTCTGCTCTTAAGCTCGCAGACGCTGGCTTTCGGCGAAAGAATCACCTCCGGTGTTCATCGTCAAACTGTCGCTTACTTTCGATCCGCGACCAACGTCTTCTGCATACTTCGATACATTGTTTTGATCAGCGCGAAGTCGCCTCTGGCACTCTAGAAACTCAATATGGCACGATTTGTTCGAAGTGTCTCCCAATATTTCAACCCGACCAACGACGACTCCGACCATGGGGGTCCTTCGGTCACGGCGGGGAGAGACCGTTTGCGCAGCGATTCAAGCCCAGCATCGGAACGCAAGCGAAAGCGACCACAGCCCAATCGTCCCTGGACGATTATTACAAAGAAACACAAGCACTATATAACCACTCCATGGGGAACGGTTGAAAGAATACCTAAAAGCGACATTGAAAGCACAGGAAGCGTGAAAAAAGCTGCAACCCAAGTTCGGGCTAGGATGGAAGAATGGTATATTGTTACCTCTGGTAGCAGATTTCCAGAATCTCCATTGTCATCTGCAACACGCCCTGTGGTCTCTGAAATCACCCCGCCGGATGTTCGTGTCGAGCCTATCAGGTCTCCACAAAGGACACAAATCGAGTTACCAACGTCTCTAACAACAGGCAGAAAGGCTTCCGCTACGAAGCCGCCACAGACGACTCGCACACAAATGACTACGGCTCCAGAGACGGTAGCCGAGGAGCCGCCTATGGGACCGGAGACGGTGGCCGGGGAGCAGCCTAAGGGACCAGAGCCGCCCTACGTAAAGCACGACACGGAGATCAGGGACGAGATATGGCTCTTGATGAACTCCATCCAAGTCCTAGCCCAGAAATGGTTCACTGGGGCCAATAAGACCGTGCCAGAACTCCGTCCGAATGCTTTCGAACTCGCATTCACAAGGATGTGCAACCAGGCTTCGCCCGAGTATGTCTCACAAACATATGCGCCTCATGCTCAGTGAGATTCAGCTAACAGTCTATAGGTTCATCTCATACGTGGGCCGCATTGCCGCTGGCGGTCCTAACAAGGAGGAAGGCTGGAAAGAACTATTCCGTGGCAGCGCTAATAGACGAGCGCTCGTCTGTGGCCTTATTGGCAATGCGCTCGTTGAGCAAGTATTTGCGCATACGCTGTTTGGGGTGGGCGACGTAAATGAAAGACGCGTGATTGACGACATACAAGTGAATCACAAGCACAGCGACGGTGAGTAGTCACTCGATTCAAACATCTTAAACAAGCGCCAACTGATTCAACATGCAGGCTTTGCACGAACCGCGTTATACGCTAAGAAGATTCGCGAAATCTTGCCTAAGAAAGGCGACCTTCCAGACAATTTCCACAATCACGCCATCCACATCACAGTCCAGCTGTTCAGTCTTATCGAGCCTATTTTACCGTTCGCTGGCTATCATACAATTGGAGAACCAACTGAGCTGAAGAATAAGGATCAAGAAAGTCAGCTAATCTCCGAACTCTTCCAAATCGTCGCCCATGCCGGCCTCCTCAGCATCACCATGCGTTTGGATGGAAGCGCAGTCTACTACTGGGTCCCAACTCTGAAGGACGACCGCTACGACGACGCCACCATGGAATGTTTCAATCGCGAGTACATGATCAATAACAACCCCCGAAGCAAAGAGGTCCAGGCGACTATCACAGACGCAGACGAGAGGAACCGCATGAGTGGCGATGAGGGCCTTGTCCGTGTCAACTGTATGAGCGGCTGCACGGTGTACCACAAAGGTGGCTGGGCGGTGAAAAGGAACGATGTTGACGACGATGATGATGAGCATGCCTGGAAGGTGCCGGATAATCATGTCAACAAGGGGATACGAAGCCGGCAGCTGACGCAGAACTGGGTCTTGTGTCGATGGGGTAGGCCGAGAAAGTGGACTAATGGGAGGCCGTCTGATGCGGCGTCGGCGCATGGATACAAGGAGGGCTCCATAACGAAGCCGCTGGAAACTTTTGGATTCATTGAGTTCAGTGAGGTGGTGAAACAGGAAAGGGACAAGAGGAGTACAGTGGTGGTGACTGGGACGGATGCGCGACGTACAAGCACGGGACCCCTAAGATTTGAAAGCAAACCTAAACCGCGACAACGCACAGGCGGACGAGGCTAAACTGTGCTACACAGCAACGCCTAAGGCTAAGGGGTAGCAGAGGCTAGAGATGTGTCGGCAGGATGACGGAGAAGAGAAACCGGTGCGTAGGGTCTGAAAAATTGGAGGGGTAGCGGGAATATTATCTACAATCGTCTTTTTTGATTTCTTTCCAGGGTACTGGTGTTTATGTATCCTAGATGGTGCTTTCGAAAGGTTGAAAAGATTCTCTTCACTTAGGATGTCTCCAACATATGGTTACGGTGCCGGCATAAGTTCGTGGACAATATTTCGCCGTTGGAACACGATGAGCTCTTCTAAAGCTTTATCAAGCAATATTCAAGCAGATGCAAATGACATGTGAGACCTCAGTGAATCGTGTTCTTCGATATTGCGCGGATCTTCAAAGACGTCACGTGCAATAGTCAAAGTCGGGTTAGCCCGGAAGAACCCAGCCTCCGGGTCCGACAACGTTCCTTCAACCTCCCGTCTCCTCCACTCCAGCGGTCGCCAGACACACCAACCGCGCAGATCCACAACGACGCGCAAACTCGCCCATAATGGTGTACGACTGGGACGGTAAGGAGTCAGACTGCTACAGGTTGTATGTCGAGGAGAAGAGGAGCCTCGATGAGGTCGTCGACTTCTGGAAGGACAAGGGATTCGTGCCTAGGTATGTTGGCCGTTCGATGCGCCAAATGGACCGACGTAGTCTTCTATAGCTCTACGGAGGGCCGCAACGACGCCACTGGATATAATGCAATATGCTGATTCGGGATGTAGTAAGAGGGCATTTCAGACGCAGTTCAAGGTACGTCCTCAAGATGTTTTCTTTCATTCACACATTCGAAACGCAAAAAATAGGATGACTAAAGTCATCTATCCCGATACGAGAATTCGATTCCTATCTCCTTTTCGACTAATGCTAATGCGTTGTCTGGTTCTAGCGATGGGAATTCCCAAGCAAGCAAAACCCTGCACACAAGAATCCTGACCTCGTTGCCCGCGTTAAAGATCTGTGGGAAAAGAACGTTCGACAGAAGGAGATGTTGGAAATCTTGAACAACGAAGGGTTTGATCTTAAGGAACGCGAGCTCATGCGTGTCAGAGCCAAAAACAGATGGCTGTTGAGAGTTGCGACTGGAATGAAGGGTCCGTCCGAGAAAGAAGGCGAAAGTGAAAAGAATGGAAATGGGAAGAGAGAAAACTCGATCATGAAACAGCTGGAGGATGCTCTCATGGTAAGCTCATGATCAAGTATATTTATGCTACCACTTTTGTTGATGAATTCAGCAGGAGGAAGACGCAGAAGCAGATAGCTCAGAAGAGAGCGTTGCTGGTGCTGGCGAAGCCGCAGGCGCGACCACCATGGACCCCGAGGTTGCTCGTCGAAAGCAAGAGCGTCTCCAAAGACTACAAGCGGAGAGCGATGAGCGCTGGCGCACTCGAAAGCGTCGTAGGCGGACTAGGGGATGGGCTGGTCTGCCTGCAGATCCCGCAGGCCCTCCTAGATTTCCTTCGGAGACTACCATCGACGAAAGCAAAGCGTACCTGAACCTCGACAACAATCAGTATCGTCAAGTCAGAGAGCAATTCCAAATGATCTGCGAGGAAGAAAAGGTGTACAAGAAGACTATCGCCGGTCCTGACAAATGGAACGAAGTCAAGGACAGACTGATCAGAGAGAACGCACACCTGCATAACGTCTTCTTCAACGACCCTACAACACAGCAACATGACGGTCAGTCGGCCAAACAGAACCAGAAATCTCTCTCCCTTGACGTCATCTGTACGGATGTCACTAAGAGGATGCGAACGTTGGAGCGGCGCATGACAATCGCCGATGCCAAAAATGGCCTTGGGCTCAACCCAGAGGAGAGCCGCCTGGTTCGTCAGGCTTTCTACGCCAAACTTAGGGGAGCCCACATCAGCAGTAAGCTCGAAGTAGGCGATGATCAATGGAAAGAACTCAAGGCAGAATGGATTGCAGAATCCGACTTGCTGCAGCGTGCCCTGGCTCTTGGAGAAGAGGATCCGCAGCATGAGTTCAAGACCAGAGCCACAGAAACGCTGGCGCGGGACGTTATGAAACGACTTCGGGATGACATGAACAAGATCGACCCAAGCCGAAAGAGACAGCACAACACTGGGCCCGGCCCAGGTCCAGCTAAGCCGTCGATGACTGCGCATACCATCGCCCAAACGTATGCCGCAACAGGAGCTCGTCCAAATCTTCTAGGCGATCGACCTGGCAAGCCCGCCCGAATGAATCAAACCCAAAGCAGTCGGACATATGCAACACGAGGCGCCCATGCAGGCCGCAGCCAGCGTCTAGACATCGACCAGGCAATCTCCTCGCCGCCAGACTCAGAGTTCCAGATCGATCCTTCTCTACTCCTTGCGGCGAACGACCAGTCCGCGATGCAAAATCACCATCATGCCAACAATGTCAATGCGTACGGCGGAACTTCGTTTGCTGACGCCGTCTATCCACAGCACTCATCCTTCGCCTCTCCTATCCCTGTGTACTTCCGCCTTCACCCACACTCCACTACCCCGCTGCCCAACAAGACGCTCTGGCTTAGTGTGCTGCAACTTGGATCGGTAGACGAGATCAAGATGTTGGCAATACGCGAGCATCCTGGAACGAGTGTTCTGCGCATCGAGGGACTGGTCTCGCACCGGACGCCGGGAAATGTTGCAGGCAGTCACGAGAGGGAGATTGTCTACGCAATCGATGATGAGGCGGAATTGGGAGGCTATCTGGCGCATGTGGCAGGCGGTAAGGTCACGTTTGTCGTGCAGCTGGCTGCTGATGGTGGAAATGGGTTTGAGAGGATGTAGGCGTGCTAAGACCCTGAGCAGTTCTCGCTTCCTTTCGGTGCAGTAACTTATCGTGCTGTTTAGGCACGCTCATATACTACCTTTAAGTCTAATTAAAGTCTTTTCTGCTGCTCACATTCTTGTTCGGCTCGTCATCCTTGGCCACCCTAGGATATCACTCATTCAGACGACAACACAAACCTTCATTGGAGCTTGCGCCATGCCTAGAATTGCCTCCCCGTAATTCGAACATCTTCATTCTTAGCTCATCTGAAATACTCTAAGCCTTTCCTTCCGTCTCCTCCTCACCCCGACACCGTCTTCGCCGCCACGCCACTACTCGCACTCCGAATCTTCGGCTCCAGCGGAAACACCTGCTTCTCCGGCGTGACCCCCTTGTACAACTCATCCCACCTCGCCTTCAACGGCTCCGGCGTTTCCCACGCATACTCCGGGTCCCGCAGCCACAATCGAACGAGATGCCGCCTATGATCCTACTCGTCAGCCCTGTTGCCCCCCGCATTCAGGTAATAAGGAAATAACCACCACCCCTTCCTCCCCCCCTTCAAATCAGCACCACTGGAAAAGGAAGGAACAACGACTCACTGCTGCTCGGGCGAATCCCGAAACCCATCCCGCGCATGGAACGTCGCCAGGTTGTTGATATACTGCACATCGCCGGCCTGGAAGTCCAGCCCGAGCGCAAACCGCTCGGCGAGGAAGTGCACCGCATCCAGCGCCTCGGCCTGCGCCTCGGTAATCGGCGGGATGGTGGGCGTGCGTGGTAGGGCTTGGAAGCCTGTGAAGGAGCGCCGCGCGTACTGGATAATCACACGCTCGGGCGCCGTGGATGTCGCGGGCTGGTGGTAGAGCAGCGGCCGCGTCGTGTAGGGGCGGTCTGGGCGGCCGAACCTATCCAATCCATATCACAGTCAGTTTCGTTTGCACACCCCCTATCTCAAAAACACCTCTTCCCTTCCCCGCCCCCCCCAACACCCACCGAAAAAAGGGGGCGCGCAAAAACAACGTAAAAAAAAATCTCGACGCGCGACTCACCCATCCTGCACCCACCCCGCTGCCAGCGTGCGCACCAAATCCGGCCGCGTCGCCGCCAGCTCGTTATACACGCGCCAGTTGCTCGCCACCCTACTCGTTCCCCCCTCGGCGGCTGTCTGCAGGCACAGCAGCGCGACGACGTCGCCCGCGTCCGTGTGGAACACCTGCTTGTCGGTCGTGTAGGCGGGCGCGCCGATCAGCGCGGCGTCGGCCGTGGTGGAGAGGTCTTTGATGTGCGCGAGCACCACGTCGGCGGGGGCCCCGTTGTGCGTCTGGTCCTGCCGCCCGCGGACGGGCGCGATGTGCGACGAGACGCCGGCGTAGAGGGTGAAGACGTCGGCGCGGGGGTGGGCGGCGATGGGGAGGCCGCGCAGGACGGCGAAGCCGGGGCCGTGGTGGAGGAGGTGGGAGAGGTGCCGGAGGGGGGCGTGG